CAGAGGAAAAAAAATGTAGGGAGGGACGTATTTTCCAAAAATTTTCGCAGCGGTAGGGAATGCTCTGTCCCCACACATCCATCTCCCAGAGGTGTTGGTTTCCTCAGTGCTCCTGGTCGCCTTTAAGCAGCTCAGATGAAAAATGATACAGAGCCAAGCCTTAACCGTAGCAGAGAGACGTTCTGAAATGAAATATCAGCTGAAATTGTATAGACTACAGCAAAAGGGCAACGTTTTTTGCTCGTTCAGAAATCCAGTATGGCCGTATTTCGATGTCGTTGATGGTACGGCACGATGCAAACAATGTTTGTACAGCACAAAATCGGTGTTCAGTACAAATTTAAAAGTGCACCTACGATCACACCATCGGGCCGATTACGAAAAGGTTTGTCCACTGTGTTATAGTCATATCACTTTTGAATTTTTTAAAAACTTATACAATATAGGTAACACTTGAGCGTTAATGTTTCGCATGTTCTCCATAATTTTTTTTCTGAATATGTCAGGTCTCAGAAATGCGAGACGCTGATGTAGCACAGGTACGTTACGTGTCAAGAGATAAAATGACGTGTCATTGACGTCACATAACACGTTGAAGGCGTGCACTGAAAGGTCAGGGACAAGCAAGGTTACAATGCAGGTTTCCTTGGCATCATCATGTTCCATGACACGTCATTCCCTTACTCCTGACAGTAACGGAGCTCTGCTACACCTACATGAAGGCAAGCTTTCTCTTACTGGAGGGATCGGTTGTCGACTAGGGCACATTATGGTTGAGAAGTCCCCCGAGGGACGCGTTGAAGTTGCTCGGTGGAAGGAACCATATCCACTTTACATTAGTCTGGAACGCGTAGAAACATTGGAATGGAACGAGATTATCGCCGACTCCTGTCTGGCCTTCCCCTCCTGTTTGAATCCATCACTTACACTTCATATCCCAGAGCTGGCGTGGCTGCGTACCTCACGTGGACGTGATGGCGACCGCGCTTCTTTTCGTCGTGGGAAATTGTGAATAAGCCTCTGTCCAGCACAAGACACGATGATTACTGCTTCAAATGGAAATATTTTACGAGAAACGCATCTTGTCCCATATTCCATGTTCAAATGAGGCATGCAGCCACACCCTCTCCTTCTCTAGGGAATGTTGTGTAATTTTCCCTAGTAACTGGAGGTAGGTGATGGTCCACAGGGTTCATAGCTGTAAGGAGGGGTGAAAGGAGGAGTCAGGTTGAAAGATTGCCTCTCCTCATGCCTATGTCGTGCTCTGTACCGAATCGTCTTTTCAGTGAATCTTCGGTCAATCTCTTCTTAGAGCGCTTGCAGTACGCCATACTTTTTGTAGAAGTGAATCTGATGAGAGAGTCATGTCAACGGTCACCACTTTCTTTCTTTGTAGCAGTCAAAGGGTGAGACTGATTAGGCGGACGAAGTGCGTGGGGAGGAACGCGAGCATTTCGAGCTTTTCCTTTAAGGCAGTTGGCACGATGATTTGGTGCTCGGCCTAAAATGCTAGTAGGGCGCTATATAGTGGGGAAATGGCGAAAGAACGGAGTGAAACGGTCAAAATCCTGCGAAGAAAAGCCTCCGTTCTCAGTGACTTGTAAATCGATTTCGGACGAGTTTCCCGTATCTTGCCAATCACCGCTACCGAAGATACGGCTGCATATGTGTACCCATGTATGCATGCAGCATCACGCTTCATATCAATCCTCTTCGCTTC